TCTCCTCCCCAGCTTATTTGAGCTTTTTAAGGTCTTCTACCTTCACCTTTGAACCTAATTACCTCTGCTCCTGTGCCCCACGTTTGGTTCTCTTTAAGCTAACATATTGCTTCTGCTCTCATCTTTTCTTGCCCAGCTCTTGTGATGGTAAGTATTCAGGAATGCTTTCATCTAGAGTAAAGTAGAGCTGAAGAGTCACTGGCCAGAACTACCTTTAGGGGGCCCTGGGCGGGGTGGGGTCACTTGGTTCTCAGTCCTTCCCCCTCCCCTCCAAGGGCTAACCTTGAGTGAGCCCTTCTCAGCCTCTGGTCAACCGAGTCTGATTGGTTTCCCTAATCAGCTCACTATCCAGGCTGTGCCAGGACTATCAGCTAGAGGAAGTCTCTGAAGCAAACAGGAAACACGAGAGACACCCATCAGCTGGAATTGCTCACCCTTTTACCAGGAAGGACAAAAAGTATGAAGTGGGTGACTTCATGGTTAGAGAAGAGACATTTCTAGTGGAGGCTTGGGCGAGGGGCAATGGTCCAGCAGCGGCTGGTGTCTTGAAGGCCTCAGTAGTTGAGTGAAGCCAGGAACCAGCCCCCACCCCCAATCTGAGCCACCTCTGTTGTTCATGGCACTGATCTGGGGGTGCCTTACTGTCTCTTGCATTCCTGCCTCCTTCCTATATCAGCTGTAGCTTGTGTGCTTGAATTGGCTGCTTAGAATCCCTGGGGGAACTTACTTTAAATCATTTTCTGGACTCCACCTCTAGAGATTTTAATTCAGTTGGCCGGGGTTATTTTTCTAAACGCCCTGGGTGATTCTGATAAAGTCTGGTACCCACTTACCCATAGTGTCCCGAGTAGAGAAAAACCAGAGTAAGGAAGGAGCAGCGTTTTGCTCTTTCTCTCTCTGCTGCCCTCAGCCCCAAAGCTGGCTGGTATATGTTTAGGAGCGCAGGTCCCTTCTGCCCTTACATGTGCATTGTTGGGGAAAGTGTAGGGCACCCCCCAGTCCTTGCAATCGCTCCCATTTCCTGTGAAGTTAATGAGGTTGGGGATGGTGCTTATCCTCCATGGCCTCTGAACAAACCAAGGTTGAGATTTGGAGGGTGAGGGGACCAGGTCATGTCAAGGAGAGTCTTTTGTCATGGGTCTGAAGCTCTACCCATTTTAGCAGCTTCATGAAAATATCCAGGAGGAAATCCATCCTACTTGTGTGTTTTCCCTGGTGTTGGAGAAACTGGTTTAAAAGCTAAAATCTTTGGCTCATTCTGTCTCTTGTAAGAAACTCTACAACTTTGGCCCTTTTTTTTAAAGATTTTTATTTATATGCCAAAGAGTGAGAGAGCACGAGCAGGGGAGCAGCAGAGGAAGAGGGAGAAGCAGGCTCCCCACTGAGCAGGGAGCCCGATGCAGGACTTGATCCCAGGACCCTGGGATCATGACCTGAGCCGAAGGCAGACGCTTCACCGACTGAGCCACCCAGGCGCCTGGTTTTGTCTGAAAGAAGACTTTATTATGGCATTCGTGGTTATAATGCCATCACCTGACTACCCGTGGACAATTCTTGCCATTGGTTCAGAAGATTCCCCACAGTGAGACTCCCTCCCCCAGCTGGCAGGCCAGCTCAGTGCATGAACTTACCTTTGCTGCCTATGGGGGTGCATCCTCAGCTTCCCGGTCTTGGGAGCGGAGGGCATAAAGCTTCCTTGGGTTCTGGGTGTGGCCTTCACCTGTCTTAAATGCCCCCTTGTCTTCGTGTGCCCTTTGGGGCAAAATCAGCTTCCTCCATGCTTTGTTGTCTGGGAAGGTTCAATACCTTTGTTCACGTGACTGCCAAGTGGAGCCAGGAAAACCACGAGACGACGCAGGCCATAGAAAGTACCATGTGTGTCTGCTCAGGTGTCTCCGGAAGTCAGGACCCGCGTCCAGGCAGAACGTGTCACCAGCCATTGTGTGCCAGGCAGAGCACCTACAGCGCTTTAAAAAAAAAAAATACAGGGGCGCATGGGTGGCTCAGTCGGTTAAGCATCTGACTCTTGATTCCACCCCAGGTCATGATCTCAGGGTCGTGAGATCAAGCCCTGTGTCGGGGCTCCCCACTCAGCGGGGAGTCTGCTTCTCTCCCTCTGCCGCTCCCCCTGCTTGCTCTTTCTCTCTTTCTAAAATAAAGAAATAAAAAATCTTTAAAAAGATAAAAAAATTTAAAAAAAAATACAGAGACTAGGCCCTCCTCCACACTTTCATCGGAACCTCCAGGGGTTGGCCGCACAGGTGATTTTGATGAGCAGACAAGGTCAGGAACCACTGGATAAGAGTTATTTGTCCCTCCTTCTGGCTTGTTAACAGTACCAGGTTCTGTCTGGGAAGGCTTGGAAACCCACTGATTGGATAGGGACAAGACTTTGATGTTACCTCTGTGTTTCTTGACTTGTGGGTGCTGGTTACTCCCCACCCCAGTAGCTCAGCCCCAGCCGCTTTGGTTTTGTTGGAATCAGGGACTTCATCTTCTCTCCCCATTCCTATATACCTCCTCCTCCTGTAGTGCCCCAGCCACACTCTGCCTCCCAGCCACGATGATGTGTCACGTGGATTTGTGGTAATAACCAACTCGTAATTCCATTGTGGTTTCCCTCTGCTGCTGTCGCCCTGCCTGGTCCTGGGCGGCTCCTCCCACTGTTGGAAGTGCTTGGGGCCTGCAAGATCCCTGTGACTGTCAGCTGGAGCCCCACTTTGCAGGCCAGCAAAGCTGCTGCCACAAAAAAGCGGTCTCACCAGCAACCAGAAACCAAAGATGGGGGCAACTTGCACTCCAGCATTCTTCCCACGGCAGGGAGATGGGCAGGGAGATAAAGGAGCTTGCAGGCCACCTGCGTCCAGCTCTGTCACCTATATGTTGGATGGCCTTGAGCAAGGCATGTAACACCTGAGCGTCAGGCTCTTTATCTGAAAAAAAAAAATGGGAGATTGTTTTAAAGCTTAAGGGAGATAATGGTTGTGCAATCACTCAGTAAATGCTAGCTGTCTCTGGAAATGATTTCCTTGGTGAGCACTCTGAATTCCCAGTATGTAAGTAGGCCTTGTGAGGCAGGCTCTCAAAGAAGCCAAAAGCACTTGGGCCGCCTGGGTGGCTCGGTCGGTTAAAGGGGCCGGATCTTGATTTTGGCTCAGGTCATGATCTCCGTGTCCTGGGATCCAGCCGGCACTGTGCTCTGTGCTCAGGGGGAGTCTGCTTGAGGATTCTCTCTCTCCCTCTGCCCCTCCCCCCATGCGTGTGGGCACACGCTTGTTCACTCGCGCTCTCTCTCAAATAAATAAATCTTAAAAAAAAAAAAAAGAAAAGAAGAAGCCAAAAAGCCAAAGCACAGACCCTGCCTCAAAGGGCCATAGAGTCGTGCAAAGATCAGTGACTGGGGTGAAAAGAGACGCCGTAAACTGTGAAATATGGTAGAACTAGCATTTCTTGTCCCTCATCGAGATCCCCCCAATAGTGCCTTCCTATATTGTTGGGGAAGAAGTAGCTCCCATTTCAAACCTCTTTTCCTTTGGCGCAGTCCAGAAAGGAAACTGTTGTTCCTGGCTAGTGAATCATTCTTCCTGAAGCTCACTTTTTAAATGAGTTGCCAGGAGGACAGAGATGTGAAAAAGTATTTCAGATTGAACAAAGCAAGCCCTTTGCTGTCAGCTTCTTGCGTGAGCACAGCCCATGGCTTCCCACAGATCTATCCTTCTCTGCATTCACGCCCCCGTCCTCTGACTGCGGGGGAATGCACCCCTAGCTCAGGGGCAGGTCAGGGCTGGACTTGGGATCTGGTTCTAAAGACTTCTCCTGCATTGACTCCATTATGCCAAGGGCAGTTGCATCAAAACTTTTTCTTTCCAGCTTGGGTTCAGACGCTGTACAGATGCTCAGGATCAAATACCTCCTCTTAGCACTCATCTGTAAAACATTGTGTATATGTTCTAGTATTTTTTTAGTATAAGTCTTCTAGAGGCTTCTGAAGATAGGCTCCTCATCCTTCTTTGCACCTCCAAAACTATCTCTAACAGTGACTAAGCTATCACCAGCTGCTGGGGGTGCAGGTCTCAGTGTACCTTGTTTGTCTCTGCCCTCCCGTACCTCCCCAGCTCTTTCCCTGCGTCACCCTCCGCCTCTGCCAGTAGAGAATGGAACTGAGGTCTCTGTTCATAAGGGAAATTTGGCAGCCGTTTTGACTGCCGGCGGAGCTCTCTGGCTTTGGTGTGTGTTTGGTTTTGTGTGTGTTTTGTGTTTTAATGTGTATGAGACACCTGGCCCATCACAAATGAGAGAACTGAGGGAAGAGGTTCAGGATGGAGGAGCGAAATGAGGCTCTGATCCCGGTGCACAGTCCAGCCTCAGACTGAGAAAGTTGGTCGGTCCTTCTAGAGATGGCAGGACAAAATGGCTACCTTGATAGCAACTTGCACTGGCCAGGCCCTGGTCCCTGAGTGCCCACAAGGTTGACCAAGCACCTTGTCTGAGGATGAGCTTTCTAATGGGACTCTCCGTGCCCTGGTCAGCCTCACCACCTGCTCTGGCTTTGTACAGAGGTGGACTGTGATCTTGGCTACCGGACCACAAGTTCATTGTTTGTTCACTTAGATCCTAGCGTCTTCCCGGGTGGTTTTTTGGGACCCCAAGGAGCCTGTTAACTGTCACCAGGCTGCCATATGCTCATCCTCCCTGTGTGTGTTTAATTTGTATGCACACGTACATATTTGGGATTGGGATGTCAGTATGTTTGCTCAGAACCATGAGCCTAAAGTTGGGAGACCACTTTCACTGCTCAGATGATTGTAGAGCAAATACATATGTAGTACATCCTAGCTAGGGCCCTTCTGCTAACTTCTGGGGCCCGGGGGGGCCGGGAGTTGGCCGGAGGGGAGGTAGTCAGCTCCCTCGGGGAGCGCAGAGGGAGAGACCTGTGATGGAAGAAGGCCTCACTGTGCAACCATCTCTGGCCTGAGCAGTACTGCTAATCTCTCTTGCAGTTGGAGGTCCCCTCCTCACTCAGCGCCTCTTCACACAGCGCCGGCCCCCGCCCCACGCTCACTGGTACCACTACAGCAGGACGGGCCATGGCGGGTCGGGGAGGTGCAGCACGACCCAACGGACCAGCTGCTGGGAACAAGATCTGTCAGTTTAAGCTGGTCCTGCTAGGGGAGTCTGCGGTGGGCAAATCTAGCCTTGTCCTCCGCTTCGTCAAGGGACAGTTCCATGAGTACCAGGAGAGCACAATTGGAGGTGAGTGGGCACAGGGGAGTGGGGGTGGCCTCAGGAATGCCAAAGAAATGCCTTGGCCTTGAGGAGAAGGGAGCCGCCTGCCCAGAGAGAATAAACAAGCCGGGGGCGCCAGCACCTCTTCCTCACCTGGGCCCTGAAACTGAATCCAGCAGCCGATCTCCCTGCCAGAGTCCCAGCAATCATCCATTAAAAGTTAGCTCGTGGTCAAAAACTGGCTGCTTCTCCTAATTATGCCACTGGATTATTGTGTGGCCTTGGCTAAGACTTCTCACTGACCTGGCCTCTGGGAGGGGAGAGGCTGGGTCTGGATCTCTGAGGGTCCTTCTTACTTTCCCCTACTTTCCAGAATGGGGAAATGGCCTGGTGAGTGGGCCAGCGTTTCTGAAGTTGACCTTTAGCTTTGAGGTCAGAGCCCGTCGTTGATTTCCCAGTATTCAGCATTTAGCATGAAACGGTCTGGACTCAGTCCCCTGTCTCAGTGGCCAGGACAAACCTTGAGGGGCCAGGGCCGACCTTGGGCTTGAGTCATCCTTTCTCTACCCTCTTGGTAGGAGGTTTCCAGGCAGCTGGAAGCTAAATGGGCCGTGTCAGCAGTCTTCTGCTGCCTCCTCAGCACTCAAGTCAGGAGCCGGAGAGAGGGAAGTGAGGCAGTTCCCAGGCCCCTCATGGAGGTGGGGGGAGGGCAGATAAGGAGAGCGGGCTTCCACACAGGGCTCTCTGGGATCCTCTCTTGGGTCCTGCGGCAAAGGGGACTCCCACCTGCCTCTCCCAGCTCTGGGACTCCTCCTCTGAGCATATGCACAAGCGCCACAAGGCTCCTTGTTTCCTCAGGCCAAAGATAGGGTGTGTGTGTGTGTGTGTGTGTTCCCTGAAGGTCGAACCACAGGGTGGCCAATCAGGAGTGGGTCAAGGTCAAAACTGGGGTTGGTAGCTAGCCAGCATGCCTGGAGGTGGCAGGGGCAGCTGGGAAGCCAGCCACCCAGCCTCCGCCTGGCAGTAGAACAGCGTGTACCGTACTTTCAGGCGTCCCCAGTGTAGCTAAGTGTGTGATAGTGTCCTCAGGAAACCGAAGGCCAGTAACACCCCTGGGCTGGAGCAAAATGAGGGACTGTAGAGGTTTCCAGCTGGACTGTTCTCTGTGAGGGGAGGGAGGAGGGGAAGGAGGAGGAGGAAGAGTGGGTGGGTGGGTGGGCCCACCCTTCTGTGCTTGGAGTCAGCTTTCCCCTGGGTTTTGCCACTCCTGCCCCTTGCCACATGCCTCCTCAGAGGCTGCTGCCGAAATGGCTCACGGGCAGGCTGACTTCCCGCTGCCCTTGCCTGGTGTGGGTCTGTAAAGCCTGTGTGGCCTCCTGCCCCCTCGACCCATGACAGAAACAAACAAGCTCCGCCTGCCCTGTTCGGACCTGTTTTGGCTGCTGGGCTGGGGGCTTCTCTGGGCCCATCTCAGCAGAGGGCCTCTAAGCGCCAGAGCTCAGAGTACTAGAGGTATGTGGGGTGGCTTCTGGAGCTCCTTCCTGCCTGTAATCCTGCCTTCCCTCTTCCAGCGGCCTTCCTCACGCAGACGGTCTGTTTGGACGACACAACAGTCAAATTTGAGATCTGGGACACAGCTGGACAGGAGCGGTATCACAGCCTGGCCCCCATGTACTATCGGGGGGCCCAGGCTGCCATCGTGGTCTATGACATCACCAACACAGTAAAGATTTCCCCTTACTTCTCGACACTTTGTTCCTGGATGGGGTGTGGGCAGATTTCCTCTCTCATTTGGGGGTGTCTCACCAGAGTCTTCAGGGCCGTGACCTCTTAGACACCTTGGCTCTGCCAGTTCGAGCTTCTCTAGTGAGTGGCCCTGGGCAGAATGCCTCCTCTGTCTCTTTGACCTTCTGGCCTTGTCTCCCCAGGATACATTTGCACGGGCCAAGAACTGGGTGAAGGAGCTACAGAGGCAGGCCAGCCCCAACATCGTCATCGCACTCGCGGGGAACAAGGCGGACCTGGCCAGCAAGAGAGCTGTGGAATTCCAGGTAGGGGGATGGACAGGACTTGGCAGGGTGGAGTAAGCCAGCTCCACTCGCAGCTCAGCCTAGCCTGCTCTGGGGGCTTTGTGATGGGCCAGGCTGGGAGGTGGCCTGGGAGCTTTGATCTGCTGTCCCCTCCTGACTTGAGCGAGGGCCTAAAGCAGTTGTCTGCCTCCTTGTTCTTGTCGGTTGGTGACGTGTGTATGCATAAGGATCGCTGAAGCTGCTGCTTATTTTTTGTGTAAACTCACTTTTTAATGAAACATACTGAAAAAGAATTACTTTTTTCCACATAATACATGCACAAATAAAATTTACACAGTACAAGAAGGTATATAGAATGAAATGTAAATCCCTAACCCAGAAACTCAATCTCCCTTCCCCCAAATTCATCAGTTTATTTTTCTAGAAATGTGCACATATGTATGAATCCCCCCCCTTTTTTTTTTTAAGATTTTATTTATTTGGGGCGCCTGGGTGGCTCAGTTGGTTAAGCGACTGCCTTCGGCTCAGGTCATGATCCTGGAGTCCC